AAAGGACTACTCTATATGAATATGGTTAGTATAATATATCATGGCAGTGGTACAAGCTCTGATCAGCAACATTATGAACTATGGGCTAATACCACTGACCTCTATATATACAAGTATGCTGGACTGGCTATACACTGTGACATGATGAAGCGATTTGATTTCCGCCATTTTGGCGCTGACAGCAGAAGTGCACGTCCACGGATCTAATAATAGGGATGAGACAGTGTATCAAATACCTATAGCTACCTATAGCTAAATAGAATAGACTCTATGTATAGATGGACTCTACCCGTAACGTCCATTCTCTTTATGTATTAATGTAATGCCATTATAATTCATCATCATTAAGGCCCTTCACAAGTCCGCTGCTGAATATAGGCCTCCCCCAAGAAATGCCACAAAGCACGGTCCTGAGCCACCTGCATCCATCAACGTCCTGTATAGCTTACCAGGTTTTGACTCCATATAGTGGGGGAAAGTCCTACACTTTACCTGCCGATACGAGGCTGCCACTCGAGAACCTTTTTTCCCCATCGGTATTCGGTTCTTCGAGCTATATGGCCGGTCAATTGCCACTTTAGCTTACTAATCCATTAGGCGATGTCGGTCACTCTGGTTCTGCTGCAGATATCCTCATTCCTAAGTTTGAACGCCTGAGCATAGCCCTTTTCGTAGCTCGCTGAGCGACTTCGAGCTTCCTCATACGGCCAGCAGTGAAAGACCTCGTCTCAGATCCATAAGTCATCACTGACACTGACTGACGAGAAGATGTGTTGTAATCTCCCGAACGCTGCCCAGCCGAGTTGAATCCGTCAATTTACCTGTCGGTTGAAGTTGAACTTACCTAGTTGGACTATTTGTCCCAAGTAAAGATACTCGTCAACAACTTCAGCTAAGTCTCCCCAAAAACCACCGGTATAGGTGTGACATGGACATTACACATGACTTTTGTTTTGTCCATGTTCATCTTAAGACCTATCCGTTGGGAGACACTATTTAGGTCATTGAACATAGTGCGTAGGTACTCCAGCGATTATGCTATAAGGACTATATTGTCGGCAAATCGAAGGTGAGTGACGTACACGCCATTGATGTTCATACCGCATCCTTTCCAGTCCAGTAGCTTGAAAACGTCTTCCAATGCAGCGGTAAAGTATTTCAGGGATGTTACGTTACCCTGTCTTACACATCTCTACAGTTGGATTAGTTTTGTACTCTGGCTCTGTACTCGGATTGCCATCATAGCCCTTAGACCATTCAACTAAAAAATTATTAAGATTAAACTAACTACACAAAATAAAAATAAAAACATAATTTCTAAAATAATTTATTGTCAACCGTTCATTTAGTTCTAGTATTATAAAAAACAAATCAGCTGCTATAATAACGCCTCTAATCTCTAATCAAATACAGGTCTGTCTATAGACAGTAAAATATTTTCTACTATATAAAAATTTATGTTTTTTCGTACTTTCTACAATGCTATACAGTTCATCAGATTGCGGTAAAACTTGGTCAACTTATTGGTTGCACTTGTGCGAAGGTTATACGCATGGTACAATTAACTGACATTAGGTGGCGTGCGTATTATACTGACTATTTATTTGAAAGTTAAAGAAAATCATTCATTATTTCAATGATTGTATTATCATTCCTAATTATACAATATAACTGTTCCACATTTTTAAAGATATGTCCACAATTACTTCTTCTGCGGCAGCATTGCGCCGGGTACGAGCTAGCAAAATAATATAAAAAATATAAACTTTGAATTACATATTTATCAGTTATTTATAACGACATTTTCGAAATTAAAATAACAATGTTAAAAAAATAACAGAAATTATCATACAGTCCTACTTTCTGTGGTATCGTCCCAAGAATGCTGGCTATGTGTCCTCTCTGAATGGCTATACTTAGCCTTCAAGCAAGGAAACAACAAACTAAACAACTTCTTATTACAAACAGCGAAAATCAGTCGCATATACAGTTTTTAGGAACTACACCGCACGTGCACCCTACGGACCAATAGTCTCTACAGCAAATTGCACAAATATGTACTCATGTTCTAGATATTCTGAGCTATTTACTTAGTTCAGTTGCCTCTAATGCCACCTCTGCTTTAGACGAGGTACCCTGAGATGGGATGCTGTCAAAGTGTTTGCAAGTAGTATCCCACACTAAAGCTTTATCTCTCTCTATCTCTCTCTCTCTCTCTCAAGCAACCAAACCCATACCGTCAGGTCTCCTGGTATCGTCTCTAAATATTCTACAAAGATCTTAAACTGACGAAACATTTATAGAGATACGAGCTCTTCGGATGAAATTGTCCAAGAACTAAGGACAACATTATATTAAAGAATACCATAACATTATTACACGGTTATTTAACCGTGTATTAAGGATGGATTCGACCAAATACTATGTTAAACCAGAGTAACTAACCCTCGAATAATTTTACTCTTTAGTCTTACACCAAGATAACTTCATTTTGCGTTTTGTAACACAAATGTAGAGAAGCCAATACTGGCTATTGTTATTCCAGAGTTGGTAGTTGGTGGTAGAGTTTAATTTAAACAAGTAAACCGACTTAAACCAGAACACAACTGTTGTAAAGCGCAATCCAAGATTTGAGGTCCACATAATTTTTCGTAAGTGTAAATGCCGCCCAATGGCAGCCCCTCCTTAGTTGCTGACTTCTCCCCCCCGTTTTCATTCTCAGATAAGGCGCACCAGAAACAAGCCACACTGCCCTTCGTGTTCTCTAACTCCACCGACTCCACTCCTATGGACTCCTATGGAATATTGTCGGTATACTGCACCTTTTCAAAGTGGTGCAGTTCTCATGTCTAATAAAACAGGTGTCTGTGAAATGTTTGGAACTAATATGATCATTTTGTTTCGGACGCCAATTCATAATATCTATGCTTTTAAGCCATAATTTTAATCTAGGTTCACTTGGAAACCTGTTAATTAATAAATGTTTGATAATCGTCTGTTGTTGGCGACTTTGTTTGTGAACAAATATGGGTAGAAAAGAATATCGATAAGTAATAAGACAAGGAACTCGACAACCTAAATAGGGTTTTACCCTATTTAGGTTGTCGTACCTAAATTTTATTGTTTATCGAAACTCAGTAATATACAGCCAAAGATGTTGGTATATATGATATTAAGATTAGTAACAAATTTTTAAGTACTTATATTATCAAATAGTTTTAATTTGTTTCATATTTGCTGCAAATTCACTTACTTGTGAAATTAGTATACAGTATACATATAGTAACTTTTGGTAACGAATTTTACAGAATACGCACGCTCTCATTATTAATAAAAATAATTCTTATTATGTAACTAATATTATACACAATCAAACAACATAAAATACTTTAATTTTTTAGATTAAAAGTTAAAAATACAGATTTATTAAATAAGACAATTTAAATATGACAAGAGACTTTAGCATATTATGTCAATTTTATTTTTCAAGACATCCTTTAGCGGCGCTTCAAATTGGAACAGTCATTTTCTATGGTATAGCCAGTCCAGCGTACTTGTATATATAGAGGTCAGTGGCTAATACACAAATGCCATCAACGTTTAAGTTAGGTATATAAATTCATAAGTGTGACCTTACAATGGATCGAATGTCATTGAACTAACTGCTGACGCTCTAGACAGAGGAGAATCAGCACTATAGGATCAGAACCGATTGATTATACGGATTCCCTTTGGGCTTGGTTTGTTTAATAGTGCATTAATCATCATGCATGCTTATCATTGGTCTAACTATAAATATTGCAGTAAGGCTAGGCAAAGCTTGCCTGTTATAAATTGATTGATTGATTAATAATGTTGCTAGATTAGTTTCATTTGCTGCCTAACATAACACCTGGGTATTTAATGTCAGGTGGCAGTGGCAGTCAGGTCAGCAGAATTCTGTGCTAAATAGTTTAGGTCAAAATAAAACAAATAAATTTGCTCATTATATGAGTAACTACTTTAACAAATTTTATTTCAAAAGAGTGACTGTATGTTTTTTCTGTTCACCTTTAATAAATAATAATATTTATTCTTCTCTTTCCAGATCAAGAAACTCACTGTCTCGTAATGGTGGTGCCACGTATGAGTCTGCAAGAACTACACCCCAATTTGTACAATTAGAAGTATCACCTGACGACTCTAATCCTCAGTTAATCTTTTACACTCATGAATGAAGAAAAAAAAGAAGACTAAGCAAAAAGACTTAAGTGTTATAAATTATAAGACTAAAATGTGATTAGTGAAAAAAATATTGATGCACCAGAGAACTTGTAAATAAGAGTTTGTGGAATGCATTTACAACATTTGTGAATAATGTTTGTATAATTGAATATAGTTAGTTAAACTATTAAAGACTGCTGAACTGATGAAATAGTGTGATAGTGCAAGTATATGGAGGACATTTGGTTATAAAAGCAATGTTTGTAGTTTTTTTCCTATGAAAGTTCTTTAAATAGCTAACTAACAATCAGTGATGAAACGAATACGGATGCGATAATTGTGTATCGGCGAATATCCTAATACAGGGGTCGGCAAGTAGTTTTAGGTAGGGTCCGGATAAACCTTGAAAATTTTTACAAGGTCCAGAAAAAAAACAACTGATAATAATTAAGTGTTAGGCAGCTATTTATTGTAGGAGTAAAATTCTGAATTATAAAATTGTAGAATTAATGTGAAAAATTGCATCGACGGTCTTGAGCTAGGTTTTTATAGTTTGGTTCTCGAGAAGAACAGCAAATTCGAAGAGTGTCTTCTAAGTGAGCGTCCGTTAATCTCGAACGATATTTGTTTTTCAAAAAATTCATCTTTGAAAAAGATGTTTCGCATACGTATGTCGAACCAAACATAGTGGCCAAATTGATTGCAATTTTCATATTTTACTGGGACATGTTTGACCCAAAATTCTTCAGTTGACACAGTTTTATATATTTGCAAAGACACATCTTCTTGCAGATCGATTATTTCCATTTGAAGTGATGGCTTGACAGATTAAACAACTTGGCAGCCACATCTGTCCATTCTGCTGCTACATCAACTTCAAAGGGTGACTTAAGAAACAGAGACAGCTTGCCCATCTCTGCAAAGTCTTGGAATCTTGTGGCAAATTCGTTTCTAAGATCGGCCAAAAATGTTGTAAACACTGCAATGTCTTCTTCAGAGTTCTCCTTTTTATATTCCAAAATTGTCGGAAAATCAACAAATTCTTACGACGAAAAGCAGACACGCTTTGTATCAGATCACATATTAATTTTCCATTTCCTTGTAACTCTGTGTTGAGCACATTTAAATATTTCAAAATATCTTTTAGAAAAGCCACAACCAGCATATTGGCGCTTATATGTTACGAACTCAAGGTGCTTCTTAGCTCCCTGCGTATCTAAGTTTTGCAAGAAGGAGGTTACTTGTTCTTTTATTAGCCAAAAACGTTCAATAACTTGACCTTTACTTAGCCAACGAACATTGTGTTGCAGTAAGTCAGAATACGCTGAATCACATTCAAAAAGAAACTCCTTGAAATGTCGGTGCTGTAGAGCAGAATGAGATCTCATAAAATTTACTAACTTTTTTTTTATAGAATAGGGGGCAAACGAGCATGCGGCTCACCTGATGTTAAGTGACTACCGCCGCCCATGATCAACCGCATCACCAGGGGAATTGCAGGTGCGTTGCCGGCCCTTTAGAAAGGAGTAAGCTGTTTTCTTGAAGGTCCCCCGGTCGTATCGGTTCGGAAAAATCGCCGGTGGTAAACTATTCCACAGAGAGGTTCTACGCGGAAGAAAACTCCTTTTGAAACGTTCTGTGGTAGACCGCCAAGCATCCAGATGGTGTGGATGGTATCGGGACGTTTGCCGCGTAGTGCGTTTACGAAATTTGGCGGCTGGGATTAATTCGAACAATTCCTCAGAGCACTCTCCATGGTATATGCGAAATAAAATGCAAAGAGATGCAACATCTCTTCGCAGTGCCAGTGAATCCAGCCGATCGGAAAGCACTCGTTCGTCGACGATTCGAGCCGCTCTGCGCTGGATGCGGTCAAGTGGAAGGAGCTGGTACTGGGGAGCCCCAGCCCAGAGATGGGAACAGTATTCCATGTGCGGCCGAACCTGCGCCTTGTAAAAGTTGCAGGCGGTGTACCGGCATGAAATACTGTCCCGCTCTGCTGAGCACGCCAAGCTTTTTAGAGGCCAATTTGGCCTTCTCTTCCAAGTGACCACGAAACTGCACGTCACTCGATATGTCAACGCCGAGGATTCCGATACTGGCTGAGGCAACAAGGGGAGTGCCCTGAAACTGAGGAGATAAGACAAAGAGGTTCTTTTTAGCGGTTAACGCGCAAACTTGTGTCTTCTGGGGGTTAAACTGGACTGCATTTAGTCGCCCCCCATCCGAGACTCTGTTCAGCAAAGACTCGACTTCAGACACAAGTTTGTCCCGGCACTCGGAGACGTTTTCCCGAGAAATATTGGCTCGGCCGGTGTAAAGAGCATCACCAGTGCTGTCATCTGCATAGCAATGAACGTTACGGGTTTGCAACATATCATTGATATGCAGAAGAAACAGCGTTGGCGATAGCACGCAGCCTTGTGGAACACCAGCATTAATAGGCTTGCAATCGGAGCTTGCACCGTCTACAACGACCTTGATGCTCCGATCTGCAAGAAAGCTGGTGATCCAATCGCACAATTTCTCGGGAAGCCCATAGGAAGGGAGCTTCGAAAGAAGCGCTTTGTGCCAAACCCGATCGAAGGCCTTCGCAATGTCCAAACTAATCGGCCAATGCCTCCCCCTTGGACTCTACTGCCTCCGCCCATCTATGAGTTAGGTAGGCCAGAAGATCACCAGCTGACCGACCACTGCGAAAACCGTATTGGCGGTCACTTATCAGCTGGTGATCCTCAAGGTACCTCATGAGCTGGCAGTTGACTCCATTGTTTTAAAGAACAAGGAGGTGATGGCGATAGGCCGGTAGTTGGACGGGTCTGAGCGGTCGCCTTTTTTAGGGATCGGGTGGACGAAAGCCGTCTTTCATGATTTTGGGACTACGCCTAGGGAGTAGGAGTACCGGAAAAGACGCGTTAAAACCGGTGCCAACTCTGGAGCATACGTCCTCAGCACAATTGGGGGGATTCTGTCAGGCCCACTCGACTTGTGGATGTCCAGGGAGAGGAGTGCTTTGCGAACCGAGTGCTGTGTGAAGTGCACTTCCGGCATGGAGCACTCACACCGCGGGATGGTCGGCGGCGTACTCCCCCCGTCATCGAGAGTCGAGTTGGACGCAAAGAAAGAGCCCAGAAGATCGGCTTTCTCCTTTGCGGTATGGGCCAGTAAGTCGTCCTCCCTGTGCAGAGATGGAAGAGATGGCTGACAGAAATTCCCCTGGACAGCCTTGGCGAGAGACCAGAATGCACGGGTTCCAGAAGGAAGGCGAACTAGTTTCTCGCCAATTCTGCCTATGTGCTCTGACTTTGCCTTGGCAATGACTCTTTTGAAGGACCTAGAGGCGGAATTATACTTCTTTTTTATTGCGCTGGTGTTTACATCCCGGGATGCTGATGCGTCAGCCCAGGCTCGGTAGCACTTCTGCTTATAGCATGATGCTATTTTGCAGGAGCGACCAAACCATGGCTGAGATTTGCCTACAATGCGCACCACAGAGGAAGGAATAAAACGTTCCATACCCTGGAGTACCACATCAGCGACAGAATCCGCAACAACGTTGGGATCGTCCGGCGAGAAGCAAACCCGCCCCCAAGGGTAGGATGCAAAGAAAGACCGCATCCCATCCCAATCGGCTGACCTATAGTGCCAAACACGGCGGCAGCCTGCAGAATGCAACTGCGATTTCAGCGTGAGTGGCACCACACTCCGGACAAGACAATGGTCCGAGGAGCCTAAAGGGGCTTCGACGGAAATCTGATATCCGTCCGGGTGAGAGGTCAGCAGAAGGTCCAACAGGGAAGCTGCATGATCCTCCACATCTTGAATCCGCGTAGGCGAAGTAACCAGTTGTGTCAGACCATATGCCAAGGCAAAATCATGAACAGATCTCCCCCGCATGATCGGTTAAACGTGAACCAAGCCATTCGGCGTGATGGGCGTTAAAGACGTCGAGGATCACGATCTCTGCGGAGGGGATCTGCTGTAGCAACGAATCTGTAGCCATTTGGACGTGGTCGAAGAGTCGGTCTGTTTCGGCATTACCGCTATGGGACCTATAGAGGCACCCGTAGACGCGCGGATGGTCGTCGCTGTCTACGCGTAGCCAAAGGATGGACAGGTCCGAACTTTCAAGTCTGCCGAGGCGTCGAGAACAGATGTTCTCTCTGACGTAAACGCAAACTCCAGCCCGAGGCACAAAGGAGTGTTCCAGTTTGTACCCCGGGTAGGAGAGATACGAAATATCAGCCGGAGAGGACACCTGCGTCTCGGTCAGGAAGAGCAGAGCCGGCCTCGCCGTCTCGAGATGTTAGTGGACGTAAACTTCACTAAGCTGTCCATCACTTCTTTCAGTGTAGCGCTAAGTTTTCCACAAAGGGCTGCCTGGTGAATTATGCACTGATACGATATTAGGCCTGGATTTTTATCCCTAATTCTCTTTACTACACCTTTTTCTTTGCCAATCATTGCTGGGGCCCCGTCAGTTGAAAGCGACACAATTTTGTCGTAACTGATGTTAGATTTAGTAATAAATTCATAAATTACCTTGAATAAATCTTCTCCTCGAGTGTTACCTTTTAGAGGCAATATTGTTAGCAACTCTTCCCTAAAAGTTTTAGACTCAATGTCAAGAAATCTGACAAAAATTGACATTTGTTCATCATCAACAATGTAACATGACTCATCAAGAACTATAGCGTAGCAAGGTGCCTTTTGCAAAAGTTCGAAAAGGGTGATTTTAATATCAGCAGCTAAAATTTCAGTTTTTCGCGTATTGCTTCTTGCTGATAATGGAATATTTTGAATTCCAGCGACATCTTTTTTTTCTTCAAAAAGTGCCGTGACTGCTGCCAACATACATTCCTTCACTATCTCAGAATCCGAAAATGGTTTCTTGTGTTTATTAAGCGTCCAGCACACACATAACGCTGCTTTTGTGGATTTTTCTTGGTCGCTCATGCAACGAACTAGTAATTTTGTGCTTTTATTGTAAGAACGGAGATGTGCCTGAAGTTTTTCTTTACGAGCCTCACTGCCAAGAGGAAAGTTTTTGTGGAATTGCTGATGAGTCGTTTCATAGTGTCGCTTCAAATTTCCACTTTTAACAATAGCAACAGTTTTATTGCATATAAGGCACACTGGAACTGCTTGAGGCCTATCCGGCAGCGTAAAACAATATTGTTCAGTCCATTCTTCTAGAAACCTCCTATTTTCACTGTCAACTTTTCGCTTTTTTAGGATCCATACCACGCTTAGGTACAAAAATATAATTTAATTAAACGAACGGAAAACTCGACAAATCACAAAACAAATGAACTGTTGCTCCGCGATTTGCGCTACGACTGACCGACTAGCAGTCTGCTTTCCTCCCGCCCGCACGCCCACACCCCCGATTTCGATCCTCGCGCGCGCTGTTGCTAGTACATGCCGTCTCGCTCTCGCTCGCGTGTTAACAATACCTGGCGACTCGCTAGGCCGCGATCAGTCGCAAGCTTGCAAATGGTCTTCTGAGGAGCCATACCACAGAACATATATATATATACCCTAAAAAGGGAGCCATACGTATGAACAAAGCGCACGGGACGACATCGGCGCGATGTTTATGTCGATGCATTTGCAGCTATAAAATCATATCAGTTGTTGGCATTTTTAAAATATTTTTAAAAATATTACGTATTTATTTATACTTGACATACATTACTATATTTGGCGGTCCGAGGTTCAACCTTTCGCGGTCCGCAAACGGACCGCGGTCTGCGTGTTGCTGATCGTTGTCCTAATACATTACGATATACATACTTTTACAATAAATCTTGGTTCACAGCTTATTTTTTCATGAAATACGGATAAAAAAATAAGTTGACGAGCGAGAACTTAAAAACCTTAAGTTTTTTCAAGAATCGAAACCTCCCAAGTAAATTATGAATTTGAAATTAAATTGATTAAACATGAAAGAAAATTCTTTTCTATTCTTTATTTTAATAAAAATTAATTAAAAGGAAACATCGTAAAGCATTTGTATTATTGTTGCTAACCGTAATATAAATTCTGATATGACTTAGGGAACTTCATGAAAGGAGCTTACTCCTTTCTAAAAGGCTGGCGACGCACCTGCAATTCTCCTGGTGTTGTAGTTGTTCATGGGCGGTGGTAATCACTCGCTACTATAAAAAAATTATAATGTATTCGTCATTCGTATCAGTATCGTAACAGCCGCATCGTTTTATCACTACTAACAATATCTATCTGCCTGGTAACATTCTTTTAATAATTTCTGCAGTGAACATGGGCTCATTTTATATATGGCAGACTAAAATATTTACATAAAAGGTTTATCTTTTATTTTAAATATTTTCCAAAAATGAAGATTTTTTATTTTCAGGTAACTTTAATTAGTCATTTTCGTAATTTTTAAATTTCTTTTTAACTTAAATAATACACTATGTTATATATTTCCTTGGCAACACAAAATAGTGGAAAAATTGTAAAAGCTTTTGCCTTATGAGAATAGTATGTACAATTTTTATAACATAATGTGTTGCCATAAATGTAAATTTTGTAATATATAAATGCCAAAAATAAGATGTTTTGTATTATAGAGTTATAAATAATATTTTTGATTAAGGGAAGATTGTTCTGTCACGTTTTATTAAAGGTTTTTAAACCACTTTCATAAATACAATTTAACACAACAATATGAATCCGGGATTTGTCGTATAGCATGATTAGTGTCTATATTTTTAGAAAAATAAGTAATACTGAAAGAATTTTGTTGTTCTGCCTGGGAATAAGTTCTATCGTATCGATATTCATCGAGTTACTTGGTATGACAAAATAAAGATCTATTTACGTCACCAGCGACGCCATATATATGTTCATACAGTTTTAGTCGATGAAGATATAAAAACGTTTGTATCAAAAACTTGTTCCAATGGCACTGGTGTAAGTTTTCTTACGACTGATTTAATTACCTGATATTGCTTACTTTCATGTTGCGTTGTTTGAACAATTATGATTTAACTGGTGGTAATTATGTACAATCATCTTAAATATATTTTAGAACTTTTGAATCTGAAACTACTTGAAGTTCTGATCTTTATTCAAGCATTGCAACATGACATAGGTTGTTAAAAGTGAAAACAAACCGAGAAGCAAAAATAAAATGTAAATATTTCTATACAGTTTGTTTTAATGACATACCCTTACTTCACATTCAAAGCAATATTTGTAGGAGATTAAAAGGAAAAAATGTAATAAAATATAAAATAATATAACTTAATCATCAATACTACAGCCCATCACAAAACAGGTAAAGATACGCCTCCCGCATAGATTGCCATATAACATTTCTTAGCCCCGTTCATCCGCCGACTCTTGGAGGTATGCATACCTTAATATACAAACTTGCCGGTTAGATACCGTCATTGGCAATTTGTCCGACGGTTATCAGTTCTACCATGCTTTAGACCAGCTTTTTTTTTTTGTCCGTTTTTTAGTTTTTTTTTTAAAAGAGTAACCCTGGACCATTAGTAATTGAACTAAAAGCCATATCCTTTTTCATAGACGTCACTATATTATCTATTTAAATTATTACACTTTTAAAATGAAATAACGAAAAAGCTAAAAAAATAAACGTCCGGATTTTTAAATAATTTTATGAATCTCTTATAAAATGTAAGTTATTTCATTATACTTTATATTATATAGGTAATATATTAGTACATGAAGGCAAAATATACTTTTTCTATTTGATAATATATGGCGGTGTTTTGAAAACTTAAATGTCGATCGTCAGCGGAGTTTCAAATATTAACAGGTTTAAACTATTTCCAAACTTTTTACATATAAAGGAAGAAAAATACTTAACCTTCTTTTTTATAGTTCCGTAATCGGATAAAAATAGCCTATAAGATGCCCCGGGCTATTAACTATCTACATAGAAATTTCCATGGATACCGGTCCAATAGTTTTTGCGTGAATCTTGAATATACAGACAGACAGACAAAAAAATCTAAAAACCACTAATTTGGCTTCAGTACCCTTTACTTAGTCTCCTCTCTCTAGATTTATTATATGTACCTATAGATAATTTCGTTTTTTTTTTTTTAATTTACCAACACTGATTTGGAAAACTTGTAGCAATAGGGTATTTTATCAAAATAGCATTATGGTCAGACAAGCTCAAATCCTTCACATTATATTAACAGTTTATGTGTATATTATCAGCGAAATTGTCAAGACAGGAGTAGGCTCTTTTCTTGAAGATCCCTAAGTCGTATCTGTCCGGAAAAATTTCTGGTGGAAGAAAACTTCTTTTAAATAGCACCAGTGGTGGACCGCCAGTCATAAAGATGGATAGTATCGCGAGTTTTGTCGCGATGTGCGATGGCGAAATTATGCGGCTGGAATTAGTCCGAATAATTCCTCAGAGCACTCCTCGTGGTAAATACGATAAAATACGCAAAGAGATGCAACATTTCTTCGCAGTGCCAGCGAGTCAAACCGATTGGAAAGAACTCGGTCGTCAACGATTCGAACGGCGCGGCGTTGCGCTGGATGCGATCAAATGGAAGGATCTGACACTGGGACACTCCAGCCCAGAGACCGGGAACAGTATTCGATGTGCGGCCGAACCTGCGCCTTGTAGAGTTGCAGGCGGTGTGCCGGCATGAAATACTGTCCCGCTCTACTGAGCACGCCAAACTTTCAGAGGCCAATTTGGCCTTCTCTTCCAAGTGACTATGAAACTGCCCGTCACTTGATATATACCGACGCCGAGGATTCCGATACTGGCTGAGGCAACAAGGGGAGTGCCTTGAAACTGAGGAGATAAGACAAAGGGGTTCTTTTCAGCGGTAAACGCGAAAAATTGTGTCTTTTGTAGATTGAACTGGACTAGTTTTAATCACCCCCAGTCTGAGACATTGTTCAGCAAAATCTCGACTTCAGACAAGTTTATACCGGATGTTGTCATCAACAAGAAATTGTAAATAATACATACTAACCGTATTTATAGTTTTTTTTTACAAGTATCGCATTCTCCTAGAAAAGAATCGATAGGCAAACCAAATGGGGTTGTAAATTTCGTCGCTGGTTGCTCCAGACTTCTTTTCAAAATCCTTCGCCTTTTTCCTGTAATTCCTATAACTGGACATTAGAAGTTCTTTTTTTTAAATCAGTCACTTCAATACTCATTATTTGCTTTATTCGCATCCATGAAAAGGCGCGAAGCCGGTGAACAGGTGCGAAATCCATCCACATTCGCGGTTCGCGGATCGCGGCTTTCACATGTGTTCACAGCGCGAATTTAGAGGCCGCTTAAGATACAAAATAAATAATAAAACCGGCCAAGAGCGTGTCGGGCCACGCTCAGTGTAGGGTTCCGTAGTTTCCCGTCTGTCACAATAAGTGTACCCACTTATGAGTTTAAAGGTGGGTATCCATTATGTTCGCGCTCCAGCAGCGCTCCGCGCTCCTGCAACTGCTCCCGGTAGTGGGTACGTGCGCGAACATGGAGCGTGCAACATTGCACGCTCCGCGACAGGCGATGCCAAGGAGAGACCAACCGAACAATTCGATAATACCCGACCCAATGTAATAAGTACCTACAGCGCCATCTCTCGGGGAATTGGGTTACTAATTAATACGTAGACGTGCCAGAAGTTTTCGGTGGTAATTTTAGATAATTTTTTAATAATTCTTTTTTTGTTTGAAAAAAGATACGTTCAGGATAATAAAATATGTAAACGAAGTTAAAAAAATGCCTGCTTAAACGATTATACTACAAACTTAGTCCAGAAATTATTTTGTACAACTTTTTGTCTTTTTTGTACAAAAACCGTTTCCATCCAGGTTCAAAATAATTTTCCTAGAAAGTACTTATAAAGTTCTACATTTCAGATTTTTTTCATATTTTCTAAACCTTTGGTTCAAAAGTTAGAGGGGGGGGGACACATTGT